CCACTTCGCCCGCCCCGAATTAATCCAACTTCTGGGGCAGCGTGTGCGTGTGCTTTGTCGGGTGGCCAACGTGTGGTATGCGTAATATTTCAAATGGTCCTTAAATTGGTTTTGCCCATTGTTCGTCTTGTGTGTATTTATGTGATGGTTATCGCATTAATACGACAAGTTTTCCCTCTGACAGTCATCCGGGAATTATTCTGCTGATTTGTTTCGTTCGCGCTCAAATTCATTTCGTCCTTTGATTATATTAATTTCCGCCTCCCCCAAGGAAGCTCAAGGATATCCCAATGCTGGGTGACACACAATGCAACATCCCGACGGTTCAGTGGGGATTCGGCATAAAACCCACCTAAATAAATATGAAATTTAGATAATACAAAACGAGCCGAGGAGCGGCAGCCTTCAGTGTCAATGCTGAGCACATCGCCATCTTCCCGTCATTATCGTCCTGCCAGACTCCCCTTGTCACGTAGCATTGAATGACAAGAGAAATATAGAAATATACGTACTGTCGACATCCTTATAGTGCGACACACTCAAGGCTTTTATTCCGTTCACGTGCAACAAATGAACAAGTTCATTAAGTGCAGGATGTTGCGGGACGCACGGAGGCAAGGACACGCTGCCTCTCGCGGCCCGGGCAGATGAGCAAGTGCGCCACTTCTGGGTCGATGTTTATGCAGTCATTAAAGTCCGTAAAGCCGCTCCAGTATGCAAAACGGCAAAATGAGTAGGCCCAGGCGACGCCACATGCGAGGGCAACATTTATGCTGATTAAACTAGCGCCAACTGGCGGTAGTTGGGAGCAGCGAGCATCTCAGTGATGGCACTGAGAGAAATACGTGTGTATTTGCTAGAGAATTTCGTTACTTTCAAATAAAATCTATTGTATTACTTTATACTTTGTATATTTCATTTATTAATTATTTAAAGGTTTTTTAACCAACTTTTTCAAAATATTTTAGCCAAGATTCAAAAGCATAATATCAAAACCGCTTTAATAATTCTTCTTTATTTTTTGGCGTGTATATGCCACAAGGCAAACAACACATCTACGACAGCTGGGCCTGACGCGATGAAAGGACTGGGACTGGAACTGGAACAGAGGCAGAGACTGAATCTGCGACTAAAACCGGGACAGGCACTGAAACTGAAACTAAAACTGGACGTGGCTCGAGCACTCAGCAATCCCCAACTGCCGGATCACATCCGCCTTCATCTCGTTGACATTTTTTCATTTGGCTGCAGCTCATCATTGGCCAACTGACAATTTTCTCTGTTAGGGATTGCTGACTGACACGGATGCGGATATCAGAGGATAACTCGGCCAGCAGGCGAAGAATTGTTTCATCAAAAAGTTGGACAAAACAAAGACGCATCAAAGAGATAAGAGCCACAAAGGCTGTACAGAGAAAAAGGTTTAACTTGTATTATTTAAAATATATAGAATTTACAGAAAGGGAAAAAAGGAATTTAAAGAAAGGAAATTATATCATCAGAATAACTACTATAACATTTGGTTTGGTTGGCCTTATAAAAAATGCACTTAAAACTGATTTAGCATTAATTAAACATCATGTTAATGATTACAAAAAGCTTCTTTTAGAGTGTTAACATAAAGTGAGATTGCATTTTAATACCCTTCCAGGCAGTGAAGAAGTCATTTCCGCTCATATATCATATATAATATATTTTTGATCAGGATAATGTCCGGAAGAATTTTAAGCGATTTAAAATTATATTTTAATTTTCTCGCAGTGAATTAGTGTAAATATTTACCTGCCAAACACTCACACACAATAAATTCAAAGAACTCAAAATCACTTTCGTGGAATTAATTTGAATTCATTGTGATGCTCTCCGTGCATGTAAAATCCTCGGTTTATTTATGCAGTTTGTCAAAATATCACATGTGGCTGCCTCCATTGTTTCACATTCAGACCCATATCAGACCATCGATTTTGCCCAGAAAAGCGAAACAAATGTCTGCCCTTTATTTGTAGGCTGTCGGCACGTGACTCTGCCCCTGACTCCGGTTCCGACGCTGGGGGGAAGCCCATGTGTGACCTCATTGGGTCTGATTTGCCTGGGGTTGGGTGTCCATAAATTACCAGCTAGCAGAGCAAACCTTTTCGAAAACTAAGCCTGCGAATTATGCACTCGCAGCTGTTGCCATCGAGTGAGTCCCGACGGAAAATGCTCGAATAAATTGCAAATTGGCCTTATAGAAAGTGTGTGCCCTACGATTTGTACATTTCATTTTGATCCCCCAGTTTGCAGACAGTTCGGCTAGCGGATTGTATCCTCAGCTCTGAACCTATGTTGCCTGCATCTGGCTAAGAACTTTTCGCCAAAGGATTTTGGTTATAAATTCCTGCATTCCTTCTGTGAGATTTATCTGTCTGAGTCACAAGTTTTGCCAAGTCTTGGGTTATCTGACCCACCTGACTGTGTCAACATTTGTCTTCGTCCGTCTCCTCCTCGGTCTCTTCAGAAATGCACATTTTAAAATCCCTGACAGCCCGGCCCCGGTCCGCTTTCCCCGTGAACCCACCGAATGTGAAACTTTCGACCTCCGGTTGCAGGCAATAGATTCGACCTTTGTGTCTAATTTTAGGTCCAAGCCGAATGGATGGCGAAGGACATCACAAGTTTTCTGTTTATGAAAACTTAATCGCGTTTTACCGAAAAATAAAGCCAAAAATATGAACGAAATGTGAAAAGTGTCGGGCTGTTTACCGCACTCAATGGCGGCTGACGTCAGCGGTCCGAATTCCTATGTGCAGACTGTTTCATTATCCTGTAGAGCCTTAATGGGATTTCAATTATGCATGATTGGCATTTATTAAAAAAAACAAAATGACCCAGCGTTTGAATAACTTTATAACAACGTAATTTATTTGTACAATTACATGTTTACGGGTAAAGTGTCCTGATGGTAATTGAAAAGTATTACGGGAATGCTTTAATCAAGGTTGTCGCTTGTTGATTTTCACTTTAGGTGCCGTTTAATTTTTTAATCAAATAGTTTTTACATTTTTCCGTTAAAGGTAACGGCAGTGAAGTATTGGTTTATCTGACATTTAATTAAATAATCGAATGTTTTATTTTAAGATTTACTTTTTAGTATTTCAAATTATTTAAGACTTATTTAAATGATTAATTAAAAAATTAACACAGTAATAGTATTCCGACTCATCGTAAAGACCTTTATTACTTCAACGCTCTCATGCGAGTCTTGTTGCCTTAATTATTCTGATCCTAATGCTGCCCTAGCAATAAAATCCAAACATGATTTGCTAATTTTATGGGACCACGAGCCTGAAAGGAAATTGGCTAATACCGAACCGAAAAAAGGCATTGCTACACATTGGAAGAACTTAATCTCCCCTGCAGACACCGGAACAGCACCTGGCCACAGGATACTGTACTGAATGCTGAGCATTGAATACCGACAGGACACCGAAATGGCAATGTGCTCATTGTCCACTACACACGGTCTGCTCGAGGGAAGCGGGCGCGGCGCCATGTAAATTTTTCAACACACTAAACACAATAAACATTTGCACACGGCCGCAGGACATCATGCTCAGTGTAGGTGTAGGTGCTGGTCCCTGTGTGTGGGACACGCACATGTCAGGACAAAAGTGCTGATAGCATTCGAGGCACGCAATCATTTGCCGCAGGCACGATACACATACACTCTAAAAAAAAATTACCAGGAAATAAAAATTCAAATTGGGAATAGTGATATCACAGTTTCTTAAACCATATTTGTTAGGGGTCAAAATACTTTAAAGAGGCCATTTGTTGTAGGCAGACTTTCCCAAGAAAGAGGTTTTTGGTTGGGTTTCATTAGAGCCTTAACCTTAAATTGTTTCTTATTTAAGTAAAAATTTCTTCTATATAAATGTATATTTATATTATGTTGCAATTCGATAGTTATTTCTTAGTATTCTCTTTAACAGGAAGAAGACTCGTTGGCAAAGTCATTTAGCCAGAAACTGCACTATAAATAATAACTACACAATTCGCTTGAAGCCAATTTTCTTGTAATGGTCTAATTATTCTCAGAAACATTTTACCACGAATTAAAATGATGCAAAAGTACAAAACCTAAATATAAGCCAAAGGTAAATCCTTTCATTTAGATAAAATTACAAACGTTTTCCTGCGAAAAACAGTAAAACAATTATATTGCCAAGTGTAAGAGCTTACAGGACAATATGCTCCAGGTAATACCTACAGTCCATTATCGGGCAGGGCAGAGCGTGCTCCTGTATCGCATTCAGAGTGCCACACATGTCCTCTTCCCTCCTCTTTTAATTTGCTCACTGTCCTCCGCTGGGCCCCCTTGATAAATATGCACACAATTATCCTGGCAGAAATGTCACTTTGGCTGATTGTTTGGCAGCCTCTTGTTGCCATTTAATACGCATATGCTCCTCAGCTAGGGACGTCTGTGTGCCGTTGTAATTAGCCAGAAAGTGCCCCCGTTTCGGTTCGGGGAACGGGTACTAGACTGGGATGAACGAGAAGTTGCCGTTACAGTTCGCAACCAGACATCCCGGCCAGACGAAAGGTCACTGCTCCCCACAGGATTGATTGCGTGTGTTTGCGTTAACTGTTCGGAGTCAATTAGATATTTGTCTGCGGCTGATATTATACTTCAACACAAACCCACACAATGCCAGGAGGGAGCAGACGAGACAGCCATTCCATCAGAATATAAATAGCTGCCTGTTCCGGCCAAGTTTAAATAAATGTCTTAAGCCCCAATCGAGCATTGGCTCAACTAGCGCGCATTAATTAAATTAGGCAATTAAAAGTTTTTGGGCAGGCTCACGAATCTCCACATATATTATTATTTGTTCCAGGATTAATGCCCGGGGAAAGCGGTTGGAAACTTTGGTAAGCCCAGGACAAATAATTTGCCCAAAAGCGGCATGGAAATGGATATATAAAAGGAGGAGGGCGCATAAACGGGCTTAACTTACCCCGAATAATACACAGAATATTGATTTAGCGGTGACTTGGGCGTTTAGTTTATGGTTTTTGGAACTGTTGCTCCTTTGAGTTTCCGGCGGAAAGTTCTTTTGTTCTTTTTGGCTCACATCTCACTTGAACCTGTAGGCGCTGGCAACGGCCGCGCCGCCGCCTCGAAACTAAATATTTAATTTTTTGCTTTACTTATTGTTTGACCTCCTTTTAAACGTAAATGATTGTTTTATGTAACTTTATCGATGTTGAGTTTGCTTGCGGTTAAATAATTAATTACTCGGCCCGATAGGCCCACACCTCGGCTTCTGTGATGTTTATGTGACTGTTGATATCGATGTGGATGCTGCTGTTGAAGTCGCTGAGTTGTGGCACATCGCTTCGTTGAGTTCGAACTGAGCTGGGGTCTGCTGAGCCGTCGCTTTTATTGGCCGTCTTTGGAAATTCACCACGCACAAAAGTGCTGGCTGCCTGCCTCTCCATCTGCCTGCCATGCGCTCGAAAGGATACAAATATTTACAGGTGCGCCAAGCGGGTGGAGGGTGCTCTAGGGCCGAAGCTCTCTTGAGCCGACACTGAGAGAAATGTGTTTAGTTCTGGCATGGGTCTTTAGGGTTCGTAACTTCAAATTTTAAATATTTTATTTTCCATTAATCATTAACATTGTTTCTTTTTGCTGATCAAATTATATATAATAATAATATTCCCTTAAAGAAAATTTAATTTCAGGATACCCTGGTAACCCAAAATCGAAAGCTTTTTCTCTTTTCTAGGCCCTCTCTCGCTCTCTTCCTCTCTTGGGGGAGGGAAGCTTTCACGTTTCAAAACAAATCCCGCACACAAATACACAGCATCCTCATCCTATGGCTTCGGAGCGCGCACATGGCCAAATGCCGAGTACTACAACTTTACAACTGTGGTGGGTTTCGTTCTGGGCCAGATGTTGTTGTTGTTCTTGTTACCCGGTCGCGTGCAGTGCGAAGAAGAGGCAGAGCCAGCCGAAAGGAGCTTCGTAAGTTTCGCGGGCCAAAACAACAAGGACTCGGAGGGGGCTGAGAAAATCGTGGGGTCTAAGTAGAAGGCTGCCATGAAAACAATGCAAACAAAAATTTGCGCTTTTACGAGCAGCACAGCCATCATCAACATGAGCATCAACATCAGCTAGCTGTCCCCTCGAAATGGTTTCTCCCCCTTCTTTTTTTTTAGCAGCCAGCCAAAGGCTTATCCCTTTTGTGCCTCAACTCAGAGGCGACTTAGACGTGGCCGCGTTTTTGTCTGGCACGCGTAGTTTTCAGCCATCCTCTGTTTCCCTGGCTTTGTTTTGCCATTTTACCGTTTTTATTAGAGTTTACTACGGACGCCAGGCAACAAATTGGCTACCGTGGCAGCCGCTTGGGCGCAACATGGCGTATGCGTAATTATAATTGAAATTTCGTGCCTACGTTTAATGAGTATTCCCAGGCACTTTTCGGTCCGCCAAGGAATGCAAACGGCGGCGATATTAACCTTTTAATAAAGAGCCACCTTAAGGTCTATTTATCGAGCATCAAACAGAATTTTTAATCAAAATAAATGCCGGTGGTTCGTTTGACTTCCCCGTGGGGCGTCAAGCGCTAATGGGCTAATTATTTTGGCATCCCGGGGTATCCATTCCATGGTTGCCATAGCGTAGACATTTTGTCACCTTTCTTTTCCATCTTTTAGCCTTTAACAATTTAGATTCGTATCGCGTTATTAATAATCAAATGTTCCTTTTTATAACCTTGAAAGGTATCATAATTTCAGTCGGAAGTGGATGGAGTTAAGGAGTCATTTTCGATCCCATAAATCGTATATATTCCTGATCAGCCTTAACAGGCGAGTTTTTCTAGCCATCTCGGAAAGAAACAACAAATTCTACATTTTTTTTCAAAATATTATAAAGGGTTACATTGTTTAAATTTTCAAAAATGGCCATAAATGTTTATTAAGGAGCTTCCTTTCCAGTTATCTATGATTTCGGTATTTGTTATAATATGTTATATTATGATTAGTTTTAAAGCAACTCTCTATATTTGGTAAAAGTAGTTCTCTAATTAAACTAAAATATCTAATTTACTTAAAATACACGAAATTAATTCTTTTACTACATTTAAGGTATAGCTCGGTAATCACAAGCAGCCATCGTACGCATAAAGAGCATTGAATACATACACATGGAAGTCTCTTATGCTACGCTAGGCATTAGAGGGTTTTGTTATGTGCTGCAATGACGCACTTGCATTATGCACGTTGGAAATCTATTATGTATCGAATCAAAGACCATGTTGGGAATTTAGATAATATTTTCCAATTAATATAAGCCTCTTGAGGTAACACTGCCTTCGACTCTGCATAATGGAAATGCGTCATTGCAGCACAAAACAAGGCCAGCTTGCACTCTAATGCTTCACATTGCATAAAAGCCTTACGTGGCGTATACGTAATGCATTCATAGCATTTTCGTATTGCAAAGCATAGAACCAGAGCCGAAGTGCTGGCTGCCTGTTTCAAAGTTCTTGAAATAATTGCATTTGAGGCGCGTCTTCAAGGAAATATTGACGTCACTCAGCAGCACTTCAATCTGGACTTTTCCAAGAACCCATTCGAGCTAGATTGAGTTGGGTAATCCATTTAAAGCCACTGCTCTTGATTTCTGTAATTCAGAGCCTGCAGAGCCGCAACTTCAAGACACCCGATAAATTATTGATTCATAAGGCAATTAGCTTTGCTAATGTGATTAATGACAGGCACGCCGCAATTGGGTTCAGACGGCTGCGACTCGACTCTATTTATTGAGTCACTAAAAGCCACTGCAATCAGCCCGCAGCCTTTTGGCCTCAATACCATATATGGCCATCGAAAATTCTCCCACACTCTGATTCTATTAGGCGTCGTCGTAGTCCCTGGATGGCGGGCATTTTAAAAGCGTTCATTATTGATGAATAGAGTAGGGCACGCAATAAACCAATTTGCTGTCTGTCTCACCTGTCTGTAGTTCCCGCCTGCCCCCCAGCACCCCTTTTGCATGTCGCCTGTCATTCTTTTGCTTTCGCGCTGCGCGGTAATTTCATTTCGTAATTGTATCCTGCAATTTGCTGCATGGCAATTTGAGAAGGCAAAACACAAGGACCGCGTCGGTACGCCGACAACAAATGCGAGGGGTCAGATGGAAAGGCAAAAGGGTAGCAGAGATTTGTATTCGAACGCTGTCAACCCACACCAAAGGCTCGAATTCATTGGCGGAAGATGAAAAAGTACCAATCCCCCGAAGGCATAGTGTTTGGATGTTGCAGCTAAACTTAAATTTAACTTAACTTGTAGCAATCATAGAAAAGAACTTATTATTTCTGTGCTTAACTTACCTTCTCATCCTTGGAGTAGAAAAGCATATTTCGCTTCAGGCGAAAGTAGCGTCGTCGCCAGCGCTGGAAGGACCATGTGTGCTTCAGCAGAAATCCCTCCTTGATGATGGCAGCCTGTAAAGAGTACATTTAAACAAAGTGAGTGCAATCTCAGCTGGACTTTGAACGAATTCCATCAGCGATTCGCCCAGGGCAATTAGCAATTGATGAGCTGACGCTGCACGGATCGGAGTCAATGGGCCGGGGTTAATAATAAGCCAAGAGGCACCGCATGCTGCAGACACAGATGGGACTCAGTTCCCCGAGCGAGTACTGGACCGGACTCCGGTCAGCAAACTCCAACGCTCTCTGCGGGGCCCGTCACTTGCAATCTCGGGGCTCGATGTCCACGAATAATTGGCTGCAGGCTAACAAAGGCCAAAGTGGGGGCGTCAATATGGCCGGCAATCAATTGTGCACACAAAGAGCGACCACACACAGCGCCACGCTCTATTCACACTTACTTGGTATGAAAGTGTAAATAAGCGTGGCACCAAAGACGACAAAAGTGACAATAATCTGGGCCAATTATTCGACAAATAAACTTTGTGATTCGAGCGAACTCTGCGACCATAGAAATCGATCCGAATGCCGCTGGCTGGGTGCACAAAGTCCCAATCCCCCGATCCGTTTAAGTTTCGGGCGAGGTCACCCAGCACCAGTAACAGAACTAGCAACAGCTCCGGGGCCAAAAGGAAATTCAGCGACAAATAATAATGGAAAAATCGTTGAAAAATTAACGGACATTGCAACGATGTCGAGTTGCAGCCATTCCATTTGGGTTTGTGTTTGTACAGCAAATGGAAAGGGGGAAACGGAAATGTTTACTTAGCTGCAGCACTAGAAGTTTACTTACACTATATTCCTTAAATGTGGCTTTATTTTTATTTTTAATAGGTATTTATCTTAGGATTAAAGCTCAGATTTGATGTTAAATTAAGAAGTATCTGAAAACTATATTCCCTAGAATGTATCTAAAAGCCAGAGATAAGACTTTAAGAAATGTACTTAAAAATTAATGGATTCCTTGTCAACAACACTGCTTCCATATTTTGTATATGTTCTCTTTCTATAAGCCCTTATATTAAGTTTATTGACCCCCGAAAAGAGGAGACAAAAATTGAATTAAATTCAAAAGCCTCCCCCTGTGCCAGGAGTAACGCCAAACTGTGACTAAAAATCAAAGTTACGGGATATCATCCCGAGATTAATCATCGTCAATCAATCATGTGGCACGCCCACGAGGCCAATCGCTGACACATCAAGTATACGCCAAAGTGGCCAAGGATAAAGCCCACAAAGCCAGAGTCCATCAGCCAGGGGATGATAAACAAGTTTGAAATTTTCGTTAGCCGGGTATTGATTTTGATTTAATGCTTTCCCACTCTCTGCCCGTGCTCCCCTCGTTTCTGCTCAGGTAAAAAGATACAAGATAAATAAAAAGGCCGGTCCATAGATATGGATATGACTTGCTGCTGCTGCTGCTCACTCAGTCGGGCAAGTAAACATAACGTAGAACTTCCTAACCCTGATTTTTCTCTGTTTTGCTTTGCCTTTGTTTCCTTTCGTTGTATCTCCTGTCTGACTTTTCACCTTTGAAAGTAAGTAAAATAAAAAATTCCAGCTTCAAATTAAAGGAATTAGTTTTGGAAAAAGCGAATCCTTTGATGGCTCACGTGAGCCGCAAAACAGTTGGCCAATTGTCTGTGTAAATAGTCGTAAATAATTCAAACGTTTTTTCGCCAAGCACGTGGCAAGGAAAGGAGCGAGTCTCAAGGATACTGCGGCAACAGCCTACTGAAGTGGGCCCACGAAGGAAGAACCGAAGACAGAGGCAGGGGCCAAGAGTTGGCAAGACTTCTGGCTTTGTTTATACAGTAGGTTTTGCTTATTGTTGGATTTAAATGGCTGAGAACGGTTACAGTGGCAGGCAGTAATGTGGGTAAGCTAATCCGTTACAATAATATTAAGATCTTACAGAGAACAAATCATTGGAAATTTTAAAAGCAAAATATATTTAAGGAGCTTAATAAAGAGGGTTTAATAAAAACAAGTTTAGCATTACCTTAAATGAAAACCTATTCTAGGCTACGGATGACTTGTAGCCCAATATTTTAACGTATTTAATATCAAACGTTTCTTTTCCATTTTTTTGAGTTACAACTGTTTGACAGTAGCTTTTATGCAAATTTTATGGAAAAGCCTCTCTTGACTGCTCTGAATTATGGACCAATTTACGGTTTCTAAGCTAGTGACTCGCACAGTGGGCCAACTGTTGAGGCTCTCGCCATTGTCTTATTGTCGCCGCTGTCGGCGTTGGCAGCACGCTAACCATCAAGACCGAGCAGTAAGCGGCTTTTGTTTGGCGTTCGCTTATTGTTTTGCGGTTTGACATGTGTAAACCCCACTCCACACGGCCACACACAGCACAGGACGCAGATGTGTGCTTATGGGGCCACGCCCCTCTCCACATGGGAGCACTTGAATGTTGCTTGTCTGTCACAATCAGGCAAATGTGTTTTGCCCAGCCCTCGAATACCGTAAATCACAAATAATAAATGCCTTCGCTTAAAGCACAACTTTGAATCGGAAGATAAGGGGTGCTTTTTGAGACCCCAGCAACATATTTATTTTTTAGCAAGGGTCAACAGCAGCAGCCGCTGCCTAAAAATACAACAAAAATCCTTTTACAAAGGCCAAAGTTGAGGGGTAGTGTCAGTGCAACGATGCGTATAATTAACATCAAATGACCAGCAACCCGGGAATATTATTCATACGCCACGTTGTCCCACAGAGAGACCGAGGAAATGGAGGCCAGATACTTAGCCTTAGACGCTTCAAAGTAACACCAAAACCATTAAGACCTTAATTGAAGCTTTTCTCGGGCTTCGCGGAGTTTTTGGGGCTTGCCTTTCTCTCGTTATTTTCGTCATTTCATCATTTTGATTCCTTGCCCGCCAGGCAACTATGGCAACGTTTAATTAAAATACGTGAATAGCCTTGGTTGGCTTTTTTTTGCTTTGTTTCGTGGTCGATACATTTTTATTTAATTTTCTACTTAGGGGACCGGCATCGGTTTACGTCTTAATAATGCATTTAAATTATGATTGAAGGGGCGCGACGCAATCACCAAATGGGGGTTGCCCTGACCCCTGACCTATGCGGCAGCGACACTAAAATATTTTATCAGCTTCTTGAACTGCGCCTCTGACCTTTGGCAGCAGTGCAGCGCACCAAAGTACTTGAAACATAAACTCTCGACACACGCAACTCGCATATAAAGCGGAGTCCCTCCCCCCCACGGATCCCCTAACGTTTGCCAGTTTGCATGCAACTTCCGCTCCAGAAAGTTTTGCGAGGACGCTCTGCTGCACTGCCATGGTGCCTCCTGTGACAAAGCCGGAGGACTCTCAGCACACAGGAAAAAAAATACAATAATCCCAAGTATTAAACGTGATAAACATTAAACAGAGTCAGCTTTTGCGAAGAGTTACCACATTGCATCGACTAGAATTCACATCGTCAATAGTAATTAATGACCCTGCTTCACTGACACATCCAACCATTTACTATGACTATCCATTTAGGATAATTAAATAGATAAAATGCTGAACACACATGTGTCAGATTGTGTCAGTGCTTCTGGGATTCGATAACAAATTAAATGATATTAAATGTTCAATGGAAATAAATGTCAGAAACAAACTTTTAACGAATACCCAATGACTTAATTCACTTACCAGGTTGTTGGAGCACTTGGTGGACATGCGGCGCTGAAAGAGACGCGCCGGCTCCGTCTCAATCTCAGACTCCGACTCGGACTCGTCGCCATCGTGGCTGATAGCTATGATCGGGATGATGGGCACCGGGGAGATGCTACCGGAGCTGCAGGCGCTGCTCCTTCCACTGCTCGGACTGCTACGGCGGGGGCTGCGAGGACCTCGCTCCACGCGCAGGGTGTCCAGTTTTAAGTGGGCCATTGTCGGGCTGTGGGTGCGCTTTGCATACTTTTTACACAATCGGGCAATCGAGCTGTCACGTTGCAAGGACACGCAGTGCTTAGGATCGAGGGAACCCAGCGTTGAGTTGCCGCCGTGTAGCCGCAGGTGGCCGTCCCATCTGCTGGTCGTCCTGCTTATGTAAATGTTCCCCCAAGTTTGCCTGCGGACACACCCCCAGATTCAGGGGACAAAAGCAAATGGTCGCACGCACTCACACTCTCGTTTACGGGGCGAAAAGGATCCCGTTTCTATTTCTTGGCCGTTCAAAAGCAGACCGGCCAAAGTCTCCCTATTTAAATTACAATAATTGCTTGCGTATCCAAAGTGTATATATATTTAATATCAATTTAATAAATTTAGCAAAAATACTTGCACATAAACACATGTATATACCGTTCGTTAACTATAAATATATTTGATTAGGCCACACTAACTAATTTGAAAAGGGAAAAAGTACACCACACTCAGAGGACACCGAATTCTCACAGTTCACATTCAAGATTACACTAACGATAATTGAAATTGCGTTTTTGTCCTTAATTATTCCGCCACTTCCTGCTTCCGCTCGCCGTCTAATTGTATATGTACAAATTCTACGCTAGCTCGCCGCCTTGAGTTATTGTTCCTGTCCTTTGTCTATTTTTATTTTCTGGTCGGGTCGGGCTCCACCGCTCCTGCTCCTTCTGCTGCCCGCTGAAGTTTGCTACGGAACAGAGACTGAGACCGAGGCTGGGATTGGGACCGAAACTGCCGGAGCCGCGCGGCGAACTGAACGAGACCGCAACCCTCACTGTTCGCCGTCAGCTGCCGCCGAGTGCGGCGTGGCCCAGCGGGGAGTGGACCTGGCCCAAAGCCAGAGCCAGCAGGGTTGCTAGATGGCGGCAATAATAAAGGATTATCTATAGATTATACCAATAAATACTTTAAATATATTACAAGATTATGGGTTATTAAATATTCTAAAAAAAATATTGAAGAGGTAAGAAATCATTTGGACCAGGAAGAGCAAGTGAAATACAAATGTTTGTCAATTCTTTCATAAAGTAGCTTGTTTTACTAGACTATCCCTTTAGAGTTTATTTATTTTTTAGCCCTTAATGTTCATATAATTTTATAAAAAATAAAATGAATAATATAAAATGTAAAACATTCTCCTTAATCCTTTTTTCAAGTCTAAATATTCCATAGCAACCCGGCAACCCTGTCCTGCAGAGCTGACACGCAACGAAAATAAGAAATATTCATTATCCTTGCCAACAAGTTTTCGCTCTCTCGGCAAGAGAGCCGCACGGAGCAGGATACGCGGGGAGCGAGCGCAACACACACCCTTCGGGAGCCTGAGAGCCGAAACAGACCGAGCAAAACAAAACGCCGGAGAGCCGAAGGAGATGACAAAGCGCACAGGACGACAAAGTAAACAGGAAAGCCAAAAACTAAACCGAGGAAGCAAGCGAAAGGCGGACGGAGCGTTGGCTACAAAGGAGTGCAAAAGCAAATTTGTAGAGCGGGCGGGTAAAAAAAAAAAAAAAAAAATGGGGGCCTGTGTGCTTTTCCGGCCTTGCGCTGTAGCTTTCATTATTTGTTGTTGTCTGTCCGTCCCTGCTCATCCCGGCAGCTATCCATCCACAGTCATCCCGCATTTCCCGGCGGGCAATACTCTTTACGCTTGACTGCACTCGCCCATTTATTGTATTACATTTTCACGTACCGCACTCGCCCACCCACATGGGCTCCAAGGACATCCAATTAGCGGACTGCGAGCCGTGCTTTTAATGCATTTTAAATGCGATTGCTGCGGTGATGCGAGACCCAACGCTTTTATTCAAATCCAATTTGAAAAGTCATAAAGGGCGTTAAATACGTAAGCAGTGTAAGCGATAAGCCAGATTGCAAGTAATTCATTTAAGCCATGAACACCGTTGAGTTTGCGCTTTTAAATTCATTAAAATTTGGATCAAATACTCTTCCTCGAAGCAATGTCCTTCGAGCTACTGAGCTGTTTTAGTTTAAAACTAATTTTAAATCACAGTTTCTGGAAATATATATATGTATATATATAGTGTAATTTAAACTCCATTAACTTGTTAATTTTTTTTAATTTTAGTTATCAAAGTTTCCTGTAATTTATTTATTAATCCCAAATAAATTTCCAGCTTTGCAATTTCTTCATCAATCACATTCCTCCATGGAATCATAGACCCAATCCGTTCGCTCCGCCTGTACGGTGGCCATCCTGGTTCCCTATGAAGAAAGTATTTACTAATATAAATATTAAATGTAAAATATAAAATATATATTAAAATATATAAAATATAAATAAAAACCCAGTTCACTATCATTAAACCTTTGATTTCTTTTCCTTGACTTACCCTTGGCATCTCAAGGCATCGCCGAAAGCGCACTCGGGTTCGCGCAGCCTTTGGACCGCTGAGCATCCCGAACTCAAATAGACTGGGCGTCAGCAAGTAGCCGCCCCAGTTTGCCGGCATGGGTATCTCCTCCGGTGGCTTTCCAAACAAGTTTTTCAGGCCATGGGCGATCCGTTGAAAGAACCCAGAGCGATTGCGCCAATCAGCCGCCGCATAGCGTGGTCCGTAGGCAATGCTCATTTGGACGTGGCGGGGATATCGGCGGAACTGGTCTATAGCCTGCGCATCAGACAACTGGTGAGCGGTACCAGAGATCCGCACGCTGCGCATGAGAGGCGCCCAATTAAAGTGAAGCGACACATGAGGATTGGCGCTAATCTCGCCCGCTTGGCGGCTGCCCAGCGTCGTAAAGAACGTGATTCCATCGGGGGTAACAGCCTCGATGCACGTCAAACGGGTCACAGGCTCACCGGCTTTGTCGACGGTGGCCATACAGGCCAGGCGTGGACGCACCTGCGGCGCATGCTTTTGGGCAGCGATCAGCCAGCTTCGGAATATCACGTAAGGTTCTTCATAGGTCTGCTGCTGCTTTTCGGCGGCTTGAGTTTGGTTCGCCCTGAAGGTAGTTGGAGGAGCACTTAACTGGTTCACATGCGGCTGCAAGCGACTCAGCGATCCGCTAGAGCCGCCCACGCTTAAAATCCTATTTACTAAAACAGACGACATTGAAATTTTGAGTGTAACAACCAGCTTATACAAAACGAAAATGTTTTACATTTAAACTAGACCTAGTTAAGAAGAGAAAATCTAAGGTATTACGATTCAGTAATTTAGGTCAAACACTGAGAAAAAATTGAGCCATGTATACGCCAGAATGATTTATATATTTAAAGAAAACCTTCCAATTGATATACCACTTTAGAAACAAGAAAGAACAAACTGCATTAAAAAATAAATCGCATATGGTTTTGTTTTTTTATTTAAGATTTATTTCAATTTTTAATAACTTGACAATATTGTTTTTTTTTTATCTTATATGCTGGTTGATCGGGTTAAGTTTGCAAATAATGTAATTTATAATTAATATTTATGTAATATTAAACTAACTCACAATCATTTGAATTAAGTATGTATAAGTATATGCATATATACTCTAGTGTTCATACGATGGTGTATGCTTGTATCAATGTATGGGTTGATCTTTCGATATTCGATTGTAAAACGAAAACGAACAAAACAGGCCGGCTAAAAATTTAAATATTTCCAAACGTATTTTAAAAGAGAAATATGACTCTGCTGGGCTGCTACTGAATTTACACAAAATGCGCGCAGAATGGCGATCGTGCACACAGGGGCGGCATAACAATTGCTCTCTCTCTTACATTCACAATTAACCATACAGGCGTGGGGTGTTGTGTGTGTGTGTGTGTGTGTGTAATGGCTTGCATTAGCTTACGGATCACGCTCTCGAAATGGGGTATTAATTACAAATTAGTCGGGCTCCCAATGCACATTGTGGGGGATACATTTCAACTAGCATTTAAGCGACTTCTTATGTTACAACTACACTTGTATATACCATTAATCGGGCTTGCAGTCGGTTTATAAATTGTCTCATCTACCGCAGGGGCGCACATTTCAAGACATTTACAGTTTAGGTTCTAGTGTCGGGAGGACGCACCGCACTATCAATATTATACACGATTTGGTTATCATTTGTTTACAGAACAAAACACTGTTGGCGGGTATGGTATACAATGCACAGGCACAGCTCTTAATGGTGCACAGCAACGTGTGCACGTTGTACTAGGAAACAATGTGTCGTCGTCGAATGGGGTTTGCTTTTGTATGGGAAACATCTATACAAGTCAAGTTTAGAAAAAAAACGTCAGTTAAAGACTTTAGCACTTAAGATAGGGTTCTGCCGTTGTGATTGCGGGTCTACTCTACGATGTCGGTGCAGGACGTTGCTGGACGACTGCTTTGTGTGTATGTTTGCATGATTGAGTGCTTGATCAGCGCTGTCTGTCAACAATAACCAAATCGCTGTAATTCTCATCTGGACAGGCTATGCGATCGCTCGCGGCTGCTGCTGCCCGATGACAGTGGCTGCTTGTTGGCCATTTCTCCCACCCGATGATGTGGCGGCAGCTTGTCAAAGAACGGATGACGCAGGGCCTCACCTAGAACGTGACATAATTGAGAGTTATCAAAGATTCAAAACAATACGAAGGCGCCACAATCTTACCTAACGTGATTCGGGACGAGGGCTCATACTCCAGCATCTTTTTAATCAGGCTGAACAGCTCATAGTGGTCCTCGCCATCGCTTAGCTGGCACTGTTGCAGCGGCTTGCAGTGATCTCGGACATAGCGACCCGCACTGGACTTCTCATCCCAATCCAACTTACCGTGATAGAAGTACTTTGTTTTGGTTTTGCTGTAAAGAGTGTGATTGCTACACGTTAAACGATTTCGGTGAAGGGAACTGCGCCTTGGGAAATGAAAGCTTGAGCTGCATTGTATTACCGTGCCATGCGATATGGTATTTGTCCCAAGATGCGCTCCATCATGGCCAGGTGCTCGCGGTTGTCGTGCGTTTGGAAGAGCGTGATGCCCAGATACAGTTCGAACAAGATGCAGCTGATAAAAAACATTTCGGGATTTAAATTTTAATTGAATAAAGGAATAACAATTCGATTCTTACCCAATGGACCAAACATCACAGGGCTGCGACCAACCCAGCTCCAGTATGACCTCGGGCGCGCGATAATGTCGCGTCGAGACAATTGTGCTGTGGTGCTCGTGGTCAAAGGTGGCAGAGCCAAAATCAATTAGACGGACGTCTGTGTTTTTGACACGGCGAACCTCGCGATTCTGTAAGTTAAGATAGTTTTAGAGAAGTTTTAAAAGTCATCCCAACCCCCCTGGCTTTACTTACAATCTTATGATTATAGTGAGCAGAATAATCCGAATCGACAAACAGTATGTTTTCCGGTTTGAGATCTGTGTGCGTTAAACGATTGTCATGTAGAAATTTCACAGAGTAGCATAATTGATAGGCCATGTGGCGCACTTGGTCCAGCGGGTATGGCTCATAGTTGTTCTCACGCTGCAAAAGAACAATAAAAGCATTGAATAACATGATCCATCAAGGAATAAGGCTGCAATGATTACCAAAAAATCGAAAACACTCAGCCCCAACATTTCAAATACTATGCACATGTGTCCATGGTAATCAAACCAGTCAATCATTTTTACACACAAACTGTAATTATAAAGAGAATGTGTTTTGTTAAAAAATGCAAGAAGAAAGATTACTGCTTGGCTTACTGATCGCAATGCGGATCCTTCTGGGCAATCTTCTCCAGGGCATTAATCTCCAGCTTGGCAGCTTCGCGGTACTTTTCCACGTTCTTAATGATCTTTAAGGCCATGCAGTAATCGCTGAAAGAAACGAAATAAAAACAATGTTAGATTATGGATGTATATTGAGGGGTACAAAGCGATATTGACAACAACTACATAACAGAGGTAAAAGTAAGGTAAATATAATATTAAATACGTAATAATTATAAAAATCAAATAGTAATGATTTAGATTTTCTCATTTATCTTTAAAAAAAAATCAATAAAAAATAAAAATCAACTAAAACTTTTCACCAATAATAATAAAATGATAATTGCAAGACTAAGAAAAATATCTTGTATTGACTTCTTTGTAGTTCTAAGTTTAGTATGAAAATATATTGTATTAATCTATTATGACTAGGATCACTAATATGATAAGATTTATACTTGTAGCGTTAGGAAAACATTAACCAATAAATCTAAACTCCAACTTACCGCTCCATGTCTTTCACCTTAACCACACGTCCGAAAGTTCCCTCGCCCAGTGTGGCCATGATCTTATCTGAAATTCGGGAAAAGGAAGAGGAGTTGTAGTGGTGTTTACAGCAAGTCTTTTAGGAGTATTAAAGGATAGCTGTCTTGTTTATTAATTTTTTTATTGATTCTTCTAAAGCTAATCCTGCAGCTGTATCTAAATATTTGAACTTTACTAATTTGAACTTTAAGCTAAGTGTGTACGGAATAAGTAGTTATTTTTTCAATATTATTTCGGTAGTTAAGCGCCAAGTTCGTGTTCGGTTTTGAGCAGTTTTCACACAGACACTTTCCCCGTTGAGTTTCATCTTTAGGGGATTAATTAAAAGACAAATTTTTCGGAAATTGAAGACTTTTTCACGAAAGTGACGAAAATTGTGTGAAACTTTTCTTTTTTTCTTTTTTTATTCGCGTTCAAATTTTTCCTAATTTCTGGATGGCACGCTACGCGATTTTGCTGTGAAATAATTAAGAAATAATAAGGAAAACTCGAAAACAGTTTAAACTAAAAGAGAGTTACAAGAGAGGAGAAGAGAGAAGTGAGGGTCTAGTGGCTTTTTGCCTTTCTGAATTTGTTTTCTTTTTTTCTTGGAGATTATCTTTTCTTTAGTATCTTTTGTGTTGGCAAGTTTTCTGATTGTCTCTAAACATAAATGTGGAGAAAAAAAATTAAAAACAAAAAATTGTCACGAACATCTGTGATGGAGAATGTCTCCGGTGTGGTAAATTAAGTGACCATCAGCATCATCTTGAATGACGGGCTTTGCTGTCTGTTCGAGCAATCGATCGGAGCGGATCGAAACGGAGCGGAGCCAAGTGGTTGCAGTGGTTGTCGAGATGCCGTTGTTGTGGGTGGTTGTTGGGTGGTGGTTGTGGTTGTGGCGACGATAGCGATTGCGGAGCGGGCGGTGCATTCGATCCGTTGAAAGGTTGCGAGTGAAACGACGACGACGACGACGAAGGCGACAGCGGAGGGTTTGCGAGCGAGTTTTGATTGAGCGAGCAGTTTTTGGTAGTGGGTTGCAGTTGCAGTCGCGTTGTTGAAGAAGATGGGGGGGCGGGGGGCGTGGCGGTAGTCGATGGCAGATACAGACGTACACATAAGGTGCGTGTGTGCGTGTGTGGCAAAGTATGTAATTTGAAAGAGAGAAAAAGAAACAAAAAAAGAAAGAGAAAAAGAAAAAAAAATATTTATATATATTCCAGGGGGTGTCCAGGCGGCAGGGTTTCCACGGGAGATTCCAGTCACATTCAAGAGCATCCGCATGATCCCACGTTGGCACCGGAGCAATCGCAATTCCATACAAAAATTCAGCCGCAGATATCCCGTAACCAACCAACATCATCATCATCATTACATCATCATCCCCATCAAGTTGTATGTACATCATCATCATCATCAACCCATCATCATCATCATCATTGTGATTTTCATCATCATATTCAGAAAAAACACGAGAAAAATACGTTTCGTTTGTTCGATAAGAAAATTAGTTCGGACAAATTTTTGAGATTTGTGTTTACAAAAAATGGTTAATATCAAAACATGTACAAACAATATAATATATAGTATAATGGCACAAAAGGTATATATCGAAAGTGGCATATATAACGTATTATATATATATATATATTTATATACAAAATAGGAAATGCACCAATAGCTGTGCTCTTGTTTCACGGGCACTCAAAACAAACAACAAACCATATTAAATGCTATTTCGCTTAGTAATAAAATGAATAACTCTCCTTTTTTCGTAATATTTGGTACATTTTAAATGGTAAAAGAACAAATTAAGTGTTTTTTTTTCGGTAATGTAAATGTCGAGATCGGTAGTATTCTTACTTGGTTTCTCTGCTTAATGTCAAAATAACATGCTTCAACATCGGTTAGTCAAGTCAACATGGAATGCATTCAGCAAGTGCAGTTAGCCTTATCTGTACTAGGTCGCTTGTCGGGGAAGAAGTTGGGTTGGGATTCTCTAGAGAAATGGGGCAAGGGGCAGCGGGCCATGGGCAGTTGCTGTTAAGAGAAGCGGCGCAACAAAGCTGCTAACGAATCGTCCATTCCTGGCTCTTCTGCTTACAAAGGTCGAGAGTGTCTTTGGAATGCGTGACCTGTTGAACAGCGCCGACGAGGTGGCGCTCTTTGCCAACAGGTAATGGTCGTGCTGCTGCAGATACGACGACGATGTCTGCTGGTGCGACGGCTGCTGATAGGCGTCCAAATGGTAGCGCTGGGGATACAGCGAGCTGCCAAGAGCGTTTGAACGCCGGCTACTGCCGCTGTACGAGTCGTGGAGGTAGCTCGATCCGGAGCCGCTTCCGGTTCCCGTTCCGGACCCTGGCTTGTAGCGATCAAACTCACTGAGCACGGCGGCCGTGCGGGAACTGGCGCCCTGATAGCGCTGCTGTTGCTGGCGTCGCGCATCCGCCGCGGCCAGTCGGGCTCCGATTCCGCCAAAAGCCAGGGCTCCGGAACTGGAGGAGTGCATGAGCTGGTTGCTGGGCTTGTACTTGGCGAGGTCATTGTTGTTGCGATCTGAGTGGGGCAGAAAGCGGCTCTGGTTGGTGGTGCCGGTGGAGAGTGCCGTCGACGCTGCTGCCAGTGGTGTGTGGTGGTTAGAGAGAGCGGAAGAGCTAGTGGACGATGAGGTGGTGGCGGTGGTGGCGGTGGTGTTGGCAAGGGATTTGGTGGTGTCGGAGGTGCTGCTGCCATTGACAGACGGGGTCTGTGTCTGGGGTGTGTCTGTTGTGTGGGTTAGTGGCACACCGGGCGCCGCCGAATCGGTCTCGGTTTCTGTCTCGGCCTCATCGGAGGAGCTACTCTCCGACGTACTGGCGGAGCCACTGCCATCGCTACCATCTCTAGTTACTTTTTTGCTTCGCGACTTCTTCTTGGGCGCCTCCTGCGGCGGTTCCGCTGCCGATGACGTTGCTGCTGCTGCTGCAGAAGCCGCTGCAGTTGCTGCCGCTGCTGCTGTCTCCCTGGCTTTTTTGGCCTCCTGTTCCAGAGCAGCTGCCTCTGCCTCGGCCGCTGCTACTGCCGCCTCAGTCTTCTTGGCCTCCTCGGCCGCCTCCTCCATCCGCTTAACGCGATCCCTGAGCTCGCGGCGTTTTCGCATGCGCTCCTCGAATTTCTTGGCCTCCAGGAACTGGTTATCCTCTCGGAGCAGCATCAAAATGGCAGCATTATCCTCCGAGGATCGATCGTCGGCCAAGATTTCGCGCTCTTCAGCAGTCAGCTCTGGCGGCGGTTGCTCCTTGCGACGATGGGCAAACCGATTTCTCGAGTTCAGTGGACGGTCTTCGACGGCAGCCGCTGATCGTCCGATATCTTGGTTCTCAGCGGCCAATAGACTCTCCACGGTCTTTGTCCTCCCATAAGCTCTGGTGGAGCGTGGCGACTGTACTACCTCCTCGTCAGCACGACGACCGTAGCGACTGGACGGATACCCAGTGGCACCACCCAGGCGCAGGGCATCATGGTAGTCATAACGCTGGCCATAATCCAGAGGATAGTTCTCGTCCAGCAACCGATTGTTGCTGGTCAGATAGCCACTGTCATTGGACTCCGCCATGTAGCGTTGCCTCTGAGCTCGGGTTCGGTAGGGCGTACGCTCTTTGCGATCGGAGGCGTTAAAGGAGCTGGAGGATAGCTTCGATTTGGCCAGCTGATGGGAGGTGGCCGAGCGAAGCAGTCCGCTGCTGCTGCTGGCACCGTAGTCATCGGGCTCAAGTGTTTTGTCACGATCCTCCTCATGGCGACGCCTTCCGGCCGCCCGCTCCAAGATGTCCGAGTATTTATTCTCCAGCCGAGAAATGGCCGATTGTTTGCCAACTCCTGTGGAAGCCACTGCCGAGCTGGTGGGCGTTCTGTCTTTGTCCAAGTGCAAGTCTCGACGCTGAGGCGGGAGTTTTAGACTTTAATTTGGTTTTAGATTCAGGGGTTAACGGAGAGAGAAAGTGCTTAAAAGCAGCGCTCGTGTGAAACCAACGGTAACGGACTGGCGACGATGGGCGTAAAACGCTTTACGCTCCACGAAAGAAGAAGGCCCAGAGAGAGAGACCCAGACCGAGACCAAGAGACCCAAGCCCTGACGACTGACTTAGACCCATTTAAATGGCCTTTTCGGCAATGGCTAATTATGGGGTGCTTGGGCCTTTTCATTTCGCACAATTTCACTGCCATTAAAGCCACTCTATCCGGCTTTCTCTACGCGTATTTTGGTATTTTCGGTCTGCCTAGAATATGCCCAGCGAAATCTAAACAAAAAGTCCACGGCGCGACGACCTTCAAAGTTTATATATAAAGCGGCGGAAAATCGTGAATATCGTGAATACAGAGAGATACAAATATAGCGGAATAGAGAAAAGCGGCGAGATCTTGGAATCGAAAATAAATTCGACAACGTAAACGCACACGGCAAGAATGAAGCCGAAGATATAGAATGAACATATAGAATGAGCGCTATAAAACACGCCCGTGTGGGCCCCTAATATAATATCTGCACATACATATATCTGTGTGCGGGGGAATCTTTCTATAGTGGTAGCTATAGTGCAATATATGTGGGTATCTACCCTCGATATCCCCTTTAATTGCGCATATTTCCCAACCGTCAGAGATGTCACACATTTAGGGCAGTCACTCTTTCGCTGAGTCACGGCGACAGGTGAGATGATTCGGATTTCCAAAATAAAAGTAGAAATGCCCAGGCAGTGAGTCACGGGACTCGATCTGGGTCTGGGTCTGGGTCTGGGTCTGTCTGCTCTTGTGATCCGTTGGTTTGCACACCGCTCGCTTTTGGTTCGCTTTCCTTGGCTACTACTCTACGCATACTAACGTCGTCCAGGTCACGGTCTCGCCTCCCGCCGCCCAGCCCACGGATGAGGGGCTTGTAGTAACCGCCCACGGGACTCAGGTGGGTGCGCAGTCTGTCCAGGGCGGTGGCTGTCGTGGAGCTCTTCTGGTAGCGGCCCATTAGAGCTGCTGTGCTGCCGCTTCCGCTGCCACTGCTGCTGGGATGGTAGCCCAGTCCAGCGGTGCTCCCAAGTCCTCCGCCTGCATAGTAGCGCCTGTGGCGATCGGCCATCTCTCGTTCCCGATCACGATCGCGTTCTCGGTTGTCCCTGTCCCTGTCTCGTTCCCTATCCCTCTCCCGTTCCCCTTCCGGATTGTGCCTCCGGCTGGCTGAGGACTTGTCCGAGCTGCGACGACGTCTGCTCTGCTTCTGGGACTGATTGCTTGTTGTTCCACTTTTGGCCGCCTTGTTGTTATTGTTATTATTGTTGCTGTCATTCGTTGGGGTCCTGGAGGTGCTGCGTCTCGTCGTATCCTTCGGATCCTCACTTGAAAGAGAAGCCCAACAAAACAATGATTTCTAGTGGAAGTCGAGGCTGTCTGGATGCAGTTATCCACGCGGCTCGCGACGAACGAACGACGGACGGAACGCGATGCCACGACACGGACCAAAATTTAACTGAGGAAAGCTAAGGAAAATTTTTCCGAAAAATTTTGTGCGACGTCGAATGAAAGAGGCGGCAGATGCGAAGACGAAGGAAATAATGCGGTGGCGGAGGCAGTCCGAAAATATTGAGGAATCGTTTTTATTTTTGGTGAAAAGTGTGAAAATATTGCGCACTTGCCAGAGAGGGAGAGACAGAGAGAGAACGAGAGTGAGAGCGAGTGGGTGGGAGCGGGAGAACTTTGAATAACATATGTAGGCGAGTGGGTGGCATCATAGATGGACGTGGATTCGCTGCAAACCGCTTTGGCTTGGGATGCTTTGTCTGGCCAAGACGCACGCGAATCGCACGCTTCATCGAAATGCATTTCACTTTGTAAACCGCACACAGTTTCGCTTCCGTCAGGTTAGCAGCAGCAGCAGCGAAACAGGGAAACGATCGAAAGTCTTTGCGTTGCGGGAAAAGCCTTGAACTCTCGCCGATAAAACGACCAGAAAAACAGAAACGCAGAACAATAAAAGTGCTGGCTGACTGGCTGCTGCTGCTGGTTGACGGAAAAGAAATAAAAAGAACAAAGCGAAACATTTTACGTTTTATTTTAAACACGCTCGCATATAAATAATTAAGCAGCAATTGCAACTTTTGAACAAAGAGCAAGGAAGAAGAGAGAGCGCTACCTGGCCATTGTGCGTATTGAGGAAGTTGGCCACAGAATTTATTTGGTATTCCCCAAAAGACAGCTAGCGAGAGATCGAGGGGAGATTTAAGAAATTCTTTGCAAATGAAAGAGAATCTTTTGGGGAATGCCAAGAGCTTTTCCTTTCGTTCTTTCGACTCTCATTAAGCTTTTCCAATCGAAAGTTTCGAGGCAAAAAAAGATTTTCAACTTTTTTGGCCAATAATCGGACAAACATTGTATGATAGTTTCATGGAAATACTAATAAGCAAATCTCTTTCCATTTCAGCTTATCAATCATTGGAGTCTTAAGTGACTTGACTGATTGACAATTACAGGTGAACCTTGCAAATGAGACTGGCTGAAGAGAGCTGGTTAAGCTCCATTTGATTAACGGCTGGCCATAAATCAAACATGGACTAAAGGCACTAAAAATCAAGCTCAAATCACATCCGTCTCCTGCCCCGCTGGCAATTATTCGCGATTTATGACTACCAGATTTTCACACTTTTTTGGTCGACGCACCGCAGCTGGAAGTTCAGGCGCGAGTTCAACGCGTTGAAAATCACAAAAAAAACGCACTCGAGACGTTTACATAATTGGCCTTAAGTCGGTTTGCAACGGAATGGGATATGCAGTATACGATCGCGAGATACTTTCGACGACGGAGTGACGCGCTGCAACTAAACTCGCAGTTACGCGCTGACCACTCTGCTTAAATCAACGCCAGAGAATAAATAAAATCAAGAGGCGCGCAGCCATGAGCGAGTTTTGACCGAGTTTTTCGTTTGACGAAAGGCGACGAAAGTACAAAAAGTACATACATATAAAAAATCGCACGCAAAATTAAAAATAAATTATAAATCTTTGCTTCATTTCTTTTGCATCGATTACCGATTGCGTTGTTGCTGCTGCTGTTGTTGTTGTTGCTGCTGCTGCTGTTTATTATCAGGTCGTTCGCTTGGGTTGCGCCGAAATCGCTGCAACAAACTGTTGCAGCTCTCCGAGAGCAGCTGCGTCACGCTGGCCGCGGTGGCGCTGCGCATGTAGCGACGCTGCGGACGCGGCTGAGCCGCTGGCTGCGACTGCGGCTGCACTGTCTCTGCCCCAGCGTCAGCTGATTTTGCAATTTTCCCATTTTCACCGATCGTTGGCAATATCTTTTCGCTTTTCTCGCGATGAAAACGATTCAGAAATGTGGCCATTTCGGATGTGGGATCTCGGTGCTCCTCTTTGCGGTCGTGTTCGCGTGGGTCTCGTCGGCGGAAAGATGACGACAATCCTCTATCCGCTAGTACTTAGCACTCTTGAGGGGCTCCTACTAGGTGGTGGGGGTGGGAACTTTTCTGGCCGCCAGAATTTCGCTACGGATCGTGCTCTTCCGACTTGGTCTATTTCATTAATTGTACTGATTTCTGGTATTTGTTGGGAGCATGATTCTGATGATATTTGTTGTAGACAAAATAGAATAGATAAAAATGTATTGTACGTAGAGATGTACGTAGAGATCTAATATAGACAGAGCGAATTTTTTGATGTGTAAAAATAATTGAAATTGTAAGAGATTCAAAGATTCGGCAGCTTCGACGGAAATAGACACAACACACAACAGAGGCCGCCGCGATTGCAGTCGCCCCCGCGTCACAGCGACAGTTTTCAAAATGCAATTTTTGGACACCGATCCTCACACGCACTTTGAGCCATGCAATATTCCGATTGGGTTTAGGGATTTTGAACTAGGATTGGGCGATTCCCAGGCGATTTATGAACAGCACTCTTCCCGATGGCAGACTCCCTGCGCATTCGTCGAAACAAACAAACCGAAATCAGCGCAACATGAACGAAAGCGCACGCCACATATACTAATTATAAAGATTGAAAATATCGCCGATGTCGAGCACCCAGAGCACGGCCGTAAGATCTGCGGTCCGCGGTCCGTCCGTGCGGGAGAGCTCCGTCGAGTGTACGCCTGCCTCTTGCCGTTTCTATTATTGTTTGCTGCGAAAGAAGGAACCGCAGATGGGGGCTCCTCCCAATGGATACTCTTAGTGGCGCCAAGGCAACCCCAAAAATAAATTGGGACACAAACCGCATGCATGACAGGTCAGGCTGGACTAGGAAGTTCTAATCCCTGGAAATGACACTTTCGGCAGGATGCTCGTCAAAGTCATACCAAGTAAGGGTATTCAAGAGTCGTTGATCTTCGCGGAGAATCAGTAATTTCAGTCTTCAGAGAGGAAGAGAGAGCCCGCGAGAGCAACCGATGAGTCGTGAGTGTTGTTACATATTTTTAGACATTCGATTCTGCTGAACGCGCTACGTGTTGTTTAGTGTTTTTTAATTATTAAAACAATTACATGGCCTGGAGGTCGCAGTTTACCAAATAAATTAGTTAAACAAACAAATCCCTTGGAAACACATCAGTTAGAAAATATGCTTTAAGCTGTGCAATCAAGTAAACAAACATAAATCAAGAGTAACCGAGACTATTAATAGAGGACAGCCCGCCCCGCCGAGGAAATTGACATTGAATTTCCCGCAGTCTTTGGTCGATTGTGCAATGTTGTCGATGTCGACAAGTGCAAGAGCCTGCCAAGAGGCCAAGAGATCGATGTAGCAGCCAAGGAGAGTGGGCCTAGGGAACTACATAATGCAGCTGTGTGTGTTTCTGTTCTTGGGAACGCTTTTCGGAAACTACAGGAAGTACGAACTTGGGGGCCAAGCAAATCAGAGGCGAGGGGCTAAAGGGAACTAGAAGAGAGCCAGGGGGCCCAGTCGTCTTCGTCATCGTCTTCCCTTTCGTCGGAGGCCTTTTGGAGCCCGGCCATGGATGAGTCACCCGCCTATTTCGGGGTATACTTCTTTGGAAGCGAAAGCGGGAGCTTGTTTTTTTTTTTCTTTGTTAGTGGGCAATTTTCAAAAACATGTGCACTAACGCAACACAAACAAACACAGTTAAAGTTAAAGTTAAAAGTTTGACAAAAATATGTTAAAACAATAGAATCTACCTCGATGAAGTGCAGTCCCAAAGCGGACTTGGACATTTCGTTCTGCTGCTGTTGTTGTAATTGTTGTTGGTGCTGTTGTTGATGTTGTTGGTGGTGATTGAATATGACAGAATTGCTTTGTTGCAGTTGCTGTTGCGGTGGCTGCGGTTGCATATTGGCCGACGATGACGCCGTCGACGCGTAAAACAATTGCGTATTTGTATTTGGATCGTATTGAAGCCCAGCGGCAGCGCCAGCGCCACCACCTACTACTACTCCTCCTCCTCCTCCTCCGACGCCGCCAGCGGAAGCGTTCAGAAACTGCGTATGCGGATGCGATTGCTGATGCTGCTGTGACTGCGACTGTGGCTGGTACTTGACCGGCTGCATTTGATTCGGCTTGGGATAGGCATAGGGATCAAAGGTCTGCAGCGGCTTGCGCTCCGGCTGCTTGGGCAGATTGTAGTAGTTTCTACTCATCATGCCCTGCCCAAAGCTGGAATGCGGCTGTGGCTGCTGCTGCTGTTGTTGTGGCTGATGTTGCTGGTGAAACATCAGGGCCGTAGGCCGCTGGGCGGAGCTAAAGGATACAGAGTGCGTCAGTGGGGCTCCGGTGCGCGGATAGCCCAGCTTGGATATGGATTGCTGCTGCTGCGGCACCTGGTAGCCGTACATCTGTGGCATCATGCCTGGCGGCTGATGATGCGGCGGCTGTCCAAACTTGTTCTCCTTGTTGGTGTTCTTTTGCAGAAACATGGCCAGTCCCGATTTGGGTGTCTGCTTGGGCACATTGGAGGAGGAGTAGGATTGTTGCAGCTTGTGGGGCAGATGCTGTTGATGCGTATGTTGCTGCTGCTGCTGCATGAAGGGATCACTAGCTCCATTCATGGCGGAGCAGGCAAAACTGTTCCAGTTGAGGAAAGGTCGCTTATGCTGGGGATATTGCTGCTGCTGTTCCTGTTGTTGTTGTTGTAGCTGTTGTTGATGTTGCTGGTGTTGTTGCTGCTGCTGCTGCTGGTGCAGCAATCTTTGGTAGCCACCCATTGGCAACTGCGAAGTAGAGTTCGACTTGCCTATGGGATAACAAATCCTTTGTTGCTGCTGCAGCAATGGCTTCTGCGGATCGTAGAGCTGAACTGGCACCGGGATCTGAGATTCACCCACGTACTTGCTGCCGCTGCTGCTGCTCGGAAGGCTGTCGCCGCCTGCAGCGTTCGGCTCTTTGTGCTCGCCTGTCAGCGACTGCGACATGATTGCATTATTATTATTGTTGTTGCTGCTGCTGATACTAGTGATGTTGCTGTTGGTCTTTAACTTTAGCATGTCGTTGAGGCATTTTTCTAGCTTGTTGTCAACATCTTTCTGGCGCTTTGTGGCCGCCGACGATGACGATGTTGGCACCTCCAAGTTGGCAGCTGCGCCACTTTGTTGCTGCTGCTGCTGGGGTGCCTTGTGGCCGCCCTCACTTGGTGTTGCTGCTGCTGGCATGGCAATCGTTGCAGTTGGTGTTGTCGTTGACGTCGACGCCGTCGTCGTGGCTGTTGTGGTCGGGGCAATGTGGAACGACGAGGTGAACTTGGAGAGCTGCGGCAGGTGGGTGGTGCAACAGTTGGTCACCGTAAAGCTACTCGTGCTTATCGTGCTGTTGCTTTTCTCGGACTTGCGTTCCAGTGAGGCAGAGTCCCCAGGCCCAGATTCCTCGTTGGGCACAGCCTTTTGTGGTTGCTGTAAAGGCTGATGCTGCTGCTGCTGATTGCTATTTTCCTGCGGTCGTCGAAAGAAGGCAGCAGCACACCGGGGCGATGGGACACATGAACTACTGGAGCTCTTTAAGACGCCACTGGGTTTGGTGAAAGTTGAAGGGGCAGGAACAGAAGCAAGAACAGGAGCCGGTCCCGGAGCAGCAGGAGCAACTTTAAGCGGCTCTTTCGATGGCGGCTCCTTGCGTGGCTGAGGCGTCATCAATATCGCAGAGTTGGAGGTACTCCTGCTCAAAGAAGGCAGGTGTTTCATGTAGCAGGGTATGTGTGTGCGGCTTGAGGTCCGCATCAAAGGACCTGCCATGGGTTGGCAGCCACCCGGTACATGCGTCATGGACACGCTTTTGGGGAGGATTTGAGCCTGCTGGGCCAACGCTGGCTGCTGCTGCTGCTTGACTGGCACCCGACTCACAAAACCAGCCCCCGCCGATGGGGATTGCTCGTTGCATATTAGTTTGTACAGATCGTCCTTGGTCACCGCCTGCCGGACTTTGAGGTCTAGGTGCGATAGCGAGGCATTTTTCTGCAGCTTGTGAGGATGATGCTGAGACTGCTGCTGGGGCCGTTGCAACTCCTTTTGGGCTGCCTCCGCTACCGTCGGATCAAAGATGGCCAGCTTCTTGGCCGTCTTCGCATCCACTTTGAAGGGTTGGCCGGCATCGCCCAACTGGGCGCCACAGATCTTCTCGTAGTTCCAGAAAGTGCGCTTGGGCGTTTGTCGCTTATGCGAACTGGTTAGATTCTCGCTCCAGAACTCGTTCATTAGCTGTTTGTTCAGGGAGAGATTCGAGCCGCTCTGCAGACCATTCTTCGCGGGCAGTGGCCGCATGGGAGTGGGCGTACTTATCGGCATATTGGAGCTGGAGATGCTGCGCTGCAGCTTGGGTTCGCCCCCAGGCTGTGAGAATATCGAGGGATAGGCCATCCGGGGAGCAGCTCCCCGACTGGGATTATGGGTGAAGTTGATGGACGATGACTTGGCTAGACCGGAGGAGATTGTCGGAACTGTGGCACCTGGGGCGCCCTTGGTCACCGACTGCTGCGAATTCGACTTGGCCAGCGGCTGCTGTTGGCGCTTAAGCCTGTCGTAGAGATCCTCGCACTCCTGAAACTCCTGATGCAGCTTCCTGTCCAGCTCGCTGTAGTCGGGCAAGCTCTTCAGATACTTATTCATCATCTCGATCTCGGCATCGTAGAAATTCGCATCTATCTGAGCGCTGTTCTTGGCCGCCGCCGACTTCTCCTCCAGTTCCTGTTGTTGCTGCAATAGCTTGTCCAGCGTAATTTCGTTGGATGGCGGAGGTGCTGCTGCAGGACCTGCGGGCTTAGTTGCATTCTTTGGAGCCCTACAGGGCACTGGAGGCGGCGGTGAGGAAGAAGGTGAGCTGGAGGAGGACACTGATATGCTGGAGGCGGGGCTCGAAGCAATGGTAGCCATTAGGCGAGCAGGCAAAGCACCTCCGGCCGCACTGCTAATTGTCCCTGTGGCCGCATTATATGCCAGCGGATGATGCTTTCGAGGCAGCGGTGGCGTGGACTTGGGACTCGCCGGCAGCAGTGGCGGGCGGCTCTTGCGTATGGCCAATGGCGAGGAGATCGGTGATCGAACGGCACACTTGCTATCCGGGATGCTGGACGACAGCACTGAGGCGAACTGGGGCGAAACCACCTGGAAGAACTGCTGGCCAGTACTGGCCGGCGGCGGCGTTGGTTTCTGCATGGCTGGCACGGAGTCCTCTTTGGTCCTTAGGTTGGGCGATGGGGCGGCGGAAACCGCTGTTGGCACTGCATTTGATGGCTTGGCCGCATCTTCACTCATCTATAGGCAAATATCGCGCACTGCAAACCGACTTGGTTGTATGAATAAGGGATCCGCTTTTTCGCGATATTTTCAGTGTGCTTTGTGTGTGCGTTGATTCTTGTATATTTCATTTAAAGCTCAAAAATTGTTATAAACCTTGCACTTTTCTTTTTCTAGTCAAATCCCTAAAGAATTCTTCTAATATCAAGTGTTTTAGTGTGTTTCTACAACCATCGAGGTAAATTCTATACAACAGATTTCGAACGGAACACAAAAGGGAGAAAGGAGACACCAAACACCAGACGAGGCACCAACACAACGAGGACTTGGACGACGACCAACCTGCAGATACTGTTCCGGTATCTTACTGTTCTTCGGCACAATTATCTTCTTGATGATGATGATCTTGTCACCCTCGATCTTGGTTATTGTGATGGGCACTCCAGGCATGGGACGCTGCGGCTTGACGGGCACAGGTTGCTTAGGCTGCTGGTTTGCAGTACGTATCACCTGAGGCCCGGTGAGGATGCCACCTGGGCTGGGTTTGGCAGCTGGGGGAGCAGGCTTAGGCTTCGGCTTCTGGGCGGGCACATGCTCCTTGTGATCGCTGCGCACAATGGAAAAGTGGTAGAGTGGTTTATCATCGTCCAGGATGCTCTTCTGTGGCACTACTTTCTTCTCAACCTTGCGGAGCACCACGCCCAGCATGGGCGACTCCTTGGGCTTGACAGTTATGGATCCACTGGGCGCCGTGACTCGCTTTAGGTTAACCCCCAGATTGGCGCCCACCGGTGGCGGAGTCTTGGTGCGATGCACCATCTTTCCGCTTGGTATCTCACGGTAACCATTCTCCATTCGCCCTCGACGGTGCTCCTCTTCCGGCGGTGGAGCCACCGGAGTGGTATGCAGCGAGGGCTCGGGTGCCACGAGAGGCGCAGGTCCCGGAAAGAGTGAGGTGAGGCTGCTTTTCCTTCGGTTCATGACATTGGGCGCCGATACCGTCTTGGAGAGTGGAAATTTGGAGGCCAGAGCAGGGGCTGCTGCAGGTGGTTCCACACCAGAGGCACTGGATGTGCTGCCACGTCGACTTTCAGCCTTGCTGGGCTGTCGCGAGGCTGAAGCCGAGGCACTGTCCAAGCTGCTCATGCTCGCGGAACTCTGAAGGCGATCAGGAGCAGCACTCCGTTCGCGATTACGCGATGCCGGCGATATGGAACGTTCCCGGGTGCGATTGTGGGATCGGGCATCGCGGGCAGCTCGCTGCATCCGGAGGAGTTCAATGGAATCGGCCAGGTGGGAGGTGCTCTTCCGAGGAGGAGAATCATCTCTAGATGTGGCTTTGGGCTGTGAGACGTTCAAAAGGTGCATTTCCATGGCATCGTCAAGAATGCTGGGCAGCGAGGTTATGCGTTCCCTGGGACCTGTATTGGAGGGTAGAGAACCCTTGGCCAAGTCCTCCTCCTTTTCTTCTTCCTCTTCATCTTCGTCCTCGTCTTCATCTTCCCGTTTCGCTTGCCTGTCTCGTTCCTCTTCCTCCTCCCGCTCCCTGCGCTTCTCGCTCTCCATCACCCGCTGCAGCTGGGCCTGCACCTCGAGGGCAGCACGTGCTCTGGCCTTGGACTCGGCCTCGCGGGCCTGTCGCAACTGTTCCTGGGCGATCGCCCTGGCTTCCGCTTCCGCCTGCGCTCGAACTCTGGCCTCGGCTTCGGCAGCGGCTGCCGCCCGAAGGGCTGCCAGGTCCGTGGCTGTCATCTGCTTTATGCTGAGACGGCGCTCCGTGTTAAGGATCAGCTCAATCTGGGTGCTGCCGCCCTCTGGCTTTTGGGCCGTGAGGTCCGGACAGCCGAGAGCGATCAATTCGCTGAGTTCGTTGGACATTCCGTTGTCTGGGGGCGGTAATCTCTCCGATTCGTGGTCGTGGTGATTGGTTGTGGTCAGTTTTCCTTCTGGATACCAAGGGAAAAAAGTACAATGTTATCTAATCTTGCACTGGCGACTCCCTCGAATTGCGTTGGGTTCGACTTGCTGGGCGAGACTCGCGAGGCTGCCAGCGCTGGTTGCAAAGGAAACCTGCGCAAATAGGTCCACGCCGCAGTGCAGCTACTCGGACCGGATCGGGTCGGTTTCGGAACGATCGATCGATCGATCGCACCCTCAATGTCAATGTCTCATTGGCATTTTGGCAAATGTCCGGCGACGCGACTTACTAATTGAAAGACTTTCCTTTGGCGCCCACATACATCCGATATATAGCCTATATCGCGCCCCCGATTTGTTGTAGTATATAGAGCATATATACAAATTACAAATCGTAAACAGCTATGAGCTCACTGTTGGTCAAATCTTTCTGTACCTTGCCTCAGACATATGTATGTGTACATCCCTGGAGGCACAGAGATCGTTTGGCCGATGTGTGATATCTCGGTGGGGTTCATTGGGCGCCGCATGTCTATCCCTGCCATTCAGTGTTCCGTCCGAAATCTGTTTTTATTTTTAACAAATAGACAACGACGACGACGCACGTAAATTGGCGCAGCCGGGCAGAATACCTAGTACACACGGTGCCACAGTACAGTGAGGCCTCGATTGGAGGATAATTTCAAAAGAGCTGCAGATCTCATCTCGAACGTCGCCTTCGACTTGATTGCATTTTTAATTAATTTTAGTTTTCCCATTAATTTCCTGATCTCTGATCTCTCACAGCTTTGGCTTTCACTGTACCGAAAACACACACAGCACAACGCCGTGCGCGCACACACACACAGTTGAGTTGGAAAAACTAAGGGGAAACTTTTCCACCCCAGTTGACTTTTATTTTGGTTCGCATCATATGGCCAAAATTGTATCGTGTACAAGCTTGTAGCTTGGATTTTCGCTATAAGTTTGTTGTGGCAACTAAATATAAATGCAAGCCTTACGAAAATAGCTTTCGAAAAAAAAAATTAAAGAAAACGCCAGCTAAGCGGAAAGCGGAGGGGATCAGGAGGAGAACGCAGGGGAGGTGGGGCGTAGATCAGCTATGATGATGTGGCACCAGCCTGATGAATAATCCCCGCCGATCTGTGGTGCATACATACACGTATATAGTTTGTATATATGTGGCACACACACACACATAGACCAGCGGACACACACGTGAGTGCTCCAATTGCTGCTCTGCATTTGTTAGTTTTGAGTTTTTGTTTTGATTTGCTTGGCCGCAGCGTAGTCTTTGCCTCCTCCTCCTTCTTCTCTACCTCCTTTTCCATTAATACAGGGAAAAATCATGTTTTCTTTAAGATTTCATTTATATTTTTACTGGATTTAACCGAAATATAATGAAATTTATGGGTATTCGCTAAATGAATCATGATTTTGATCAACATTAATTGGAAATTTGTGTTTTTCAGATCAGATTTAATCCATTTGATTGTAAGTTTTGAAGATTTTATAATCGGATCTTAATTTTTTTTCTGTGTACTGGCTGCATTAGTTTCCCCTATTCGCTTTTCCCACTAAAAACGTATCTTTCGTCTCACTGCTAATTGCAAAAAACTTGATGAAAAAGTGCAAAGTTCACTATCAGTATGTTTTTGGATGCTCCACAGCTGGCTCTTATCCCAATTTAATATCGCCTCGAATTATTTACTCGCCACCGTCGTTGGCGGGGGGTCAATAAAACAGTTTGGCTCTCGTATCTTGTTTAAACAAATTCAGAGTCCGATGAATATCGCCGCGCACTTTTTCTTAACACTCTTTGCATTTTGTTTGATGTTTTTCGTTTTCTGCTGCTGATGTGTTGCTTTTTCGAGTTTTATTTTTAAAACACTTAATGTTCTTAGTTTTTTGGGTTGTTTTTTGATTTTTGTTGTTGTTCTGATTATGTCACGGTGCTGCCCAGCGATTGTTTGAGATGGATGTTGGGGATTTTTTGCCTCCTCGCGGGCCTAAATGCGTTTCTGCATTACCCATACGCTCAGTATGTACCTCTAAATATTGTTCTATTCGATGATTTAATGCTCCTCTTCTTCCCAAGCAAATAATACAAGAAAAAAAATGTTGAAGAAAAACACAAGAACGCACACACAGGCACACACATCGATAAACAAAGTGCGCGAAAGGAGGCGGTATATATGGAGAGCGGGGGATCCCAATACCGTTACACGACTAAGACGAAGACGCAGCGACGATACCGCTGATGGCGACGATATATACAAGTTTTATATGGAAGCAGTGGCGGCGACACACAGCCAACAAACGAAGATTCGAATCTGTTTCGGTTTCCTCAAATTTGAAAATTCTCAGCCGAAAAACCGCCCCAAAGAAGATGAGAGCCGTAGAGCAGAGCGTAAACTTTCTGCGGCGCGTGTATTTATAATTTTCCAATGGCAGCGACGGCGGCGGCGCCGCAAGATGAAAACAGTTTAGAGCAAATGGCAAACAACACACATCCCAAGAAGACCAAGCCCACGGAGCTGCGCGCGCATCTCCCAGGAGGAGAACCAGCAGCAGCAGCATCAGCTGTGAGCAGCAGTGGCCCACGGACCCAAACGGGGGACATGCGCAGAGCACAGAGAGGAATCTCCAAGGCGTCACTCGCTCGGAGGCATCAAGACACTCGGGAGAGTTGATGTTAGTGTTAGGGAGAACTTAGCCCTGTGCCTATACATATAGCTATGGTCAAAATAATAGCACTCTACAACGATATTCTTCAGGATATGTGCATTTGAACTATATTTGTAATATTTAATTTAAAAAAAAAATTTTGAAAAGTACGACTTAATAAAGAAGTGGGACTAAAGAAAGACTTTTTGTAAAGTACATAAATAACAAATTAGGAAATACCCTGTAATCTAATCTGTAATAGTTCTATTATTTTAACCGAAGCCGTGTTCCCATGTTTGCTGAAGACCAAAAAGGGGCCATGCAAACCAACAAGATTCTAGCAGAAAATTTCTCTTTAGATTTCCGTATGACTCACTAGGTAATCGTCATTGTGGTCCACAAAGTACTCCTCAACGATCCAATTATCGCCGGCGTACTTATCGCTGGGCATATCACAGATAGCCACCAGATCGAAGTGATTGCGTTGCCGCTTCAGCAGCAGGCAACGGCTGATGGGTACGTACTCCTCGTCGTACTCCTGCTCCAGCTCCGTTTCCAGGCCACAGCCATTCGCCGTTTTCTCCGCATGCCGGATGATGAGCTGCTGCTCCAACTGCCGAAAGTACTGAATCTTGGCGGGGCTAAACGATGACGAGTTGGAAATTCTATGCGCGTTACTCAGCCCACTTAATTGGCGGCGACATGGGCAACTGGCAAAGCTGGCGAGGAGCAGGCAGCAGCAGCAGCAGTACATCACATCTCAGAGCAGATCAGCGCAGAGGAGAAAACTCTGCCCGCCGACAGCGAGTTAATGTCAAATGATCAATTGAACGAAAATAACTAGAGCAACGGGGTATGGATGTGAGCCGGGGGGAACTGTATATAGAACCATCAACAGTGAATGGAAACTATGAAGATCTTGCTTAATTAAGAGCTTTTTACATATTTCAAGAAGACAGAAGCAGAAGATCGTCGAGAAATTGCTCAATTTCCACATATATTCTCAAGGTCCAGCTTTATTGCTCTATTTAAGTATGGTTTTATTACTGATCATGAGCTTTGTAGAATTTTTAATCTGTTTTTTCATGGCTATTAAATGAATTATAAGTCTAACCGAAGATAGTTTCATTTTTAAAGAGCACTAAACTTAATATTTTTGAATGTTAAGCAGCAGTTTAAATAAAACATGAAACATTTTGCAGCGAAATTTCATCAACTTGTTTAACACACTTCAGAGGAAAATATATTTCTCAGCAAGCACTATCTTATCAACTCACTCGTACTCCCAGAGATTTCGAGTGCCTAGAGCCCTTGAGACCTGATTATTTCCACATACAATTGGAGTCTCATCCACTGACCGGGCCACTGATTACATTCCCAGCGAAACCACTGTGCCACAAGAGAAGTAAAATAGAGACACCAGAGGCAATGTGACACATGAAGTGACCAATTTAGCACAACGCCGCATAGATAAGAAAAGAAGAGAGCCGACGACGAGTGCAATGGCAGGCAATCGTGATAGTGCGCTGATCAGTGATCACTCCATTGATCCACTCGACGACTTGTAGTCGAGAAACGGGCACAACAAAGTCCGGAGAGCGATTAGGTTAGTCAACAACAGGCAACACAGGGTGAGAGTGGGGGTGTGGTATCGATAGATAACGACATAATGGTGCGATCGGTGACAGAGGGACACGCTTACTAGATAGTCGCTATCGTGATCCGCAAAGTACTCGACCACTATCCAGTCCTCGGTGTATGGCATAAAGCGCAGCGGACAGCTAGCCAAGATCAGATCGCGGCAGTGATCGACGCAGGGTGGCGCCGGCAGGTCACGCATCTTGATGTAGCAAGGGATCTGCGAGCTCTCAAAGTGATCAGCCACCTGCTGCGACTTCTCCAGATACCGCTTGAAGAACAGCATGGCTGGGGGAAGTGTGTATTCTGTGTGGGATGGGGGCGATCTCTAGATGCCTAGGCACTGATCGGTCGAACGAGGGGCACAACTTTTGGCAATGCACGCAGGCGGCGCAACAAGAAATTCACTAAAATAATTTCTGTTCGGTCCGAAGTAGCAGTCGGTCGTATACGTGATATCCGTCCGTTTAATTTGTTCTTTTACCATTTTGTTTTGCTTTTAGCTTTCGCTGTGACTTTAGTTTGAGATTTTGTTCATGGTTTTCATTTGTTTTTTCGTTGCCCTTCCTACAATTTTCACTTTTTTTTCTATGTGTGGTGGTGTTGGTTATAAAATGAAAAGTTTTTACCTTAGCCTGCGACTGACGGCGGCCACTG